CACTTATATTTCGATTATGTTGTATGGTACTCAAGTGACCACATGGTTTTCGTGAATTAAATTTATAAATCTGAAAATTGTAAAAATAATATTGTATATAACTATATTATACTACCTGAATAAAATTAAATTGAAAAAGTTGGCGATGAATCTTTTGTGTTATCATCAACAAAATTCACAACTTAAGTTATAAGGTGTATGTTAAATATAAAATGTACTCCAGTACATTTTAATACTACCAAACCAGCTACCTAAGAAGCAGAAGCAGTGAAGGTGGGTATCTCTACAATATTGTGCGGAAAATATAGAGTTTACCGGTCACTTGACGAAGTCGAGCAAAATACGGTTAGTGAAATGGCTTATAATATTTCTTTGTGGGATAGCAGAGTCACAAATGCTGATTGTTATGAAGAACCCGACGTGCAGGAAATTATAGTAAAAATCCAGTTTTGATTTTGGAGCCTAAAATGATGAAAAACGTAAAAACAAATGTTCACATTTTAATTTTTCTGGGGGTGGTGGGGCTACGTTTCAGCATTGCCCCGGGCCCAAAATTGTCTAGTTGCGGCACAGAATACACAGAAAGGGTCAGAGAATGTAAAAATAGTGAATACCTGTTTACGCCCGTTCAGGAAGTTAATGATCCTGAATTCCATATGATTTTCTTTTAAAGATCTGCAAAATATTATTATTTTCTCTATGAATTTGAATTCGCAATGATAATATACAGAACGCCTCATACTATCGTTGATAAGTTAGTTGTAAGTAACTTTGTTGTAGAATAGCAAGCAACAATTCGATAAACATGTGCTTTTAAGCATTTCCAAAGTATTTTTAAGGCGAATATGAATAGTAAAACCCCTCGGGTGGTTCATTGACAATGTAATAGCTTTCCAAGGCGTGATCCAGGATTCCATTCCCGGTCGGGGCAAAATTAGAGTTGTGGTTTTCCATTAGAATTTCGTCAATTTATATAGCTGTGTACCAAAAGAAAAGCTTAGGCAGGCAAAGTATGTCATGCAAGTATGCGTCATGCTCGCCACATGTCTCCCTTACCCCCAGGCGCGGAGAATAAATAAAGCCAGAGCTTAGGCCAGGAGCACCGCTTCTGGCAAAAGTCGCATTAATCCGACCTTATGCCAAATACATGAATAGTAAGTAGTAAGTCAAATTTAAGTGACAGATTAAGTGATTACATACGTATACGTTTATATTAGAAAGGGAGGCAGGAAGAAACAGTTTAAAGTAGTAAAACAAAACAAAAAAACAACAAAAACACGTATTAATCGTATTCGTATGAAAAAATATAAAACATAATTGTTTAAAACCGCTATAAAGAATGTTTTAAGAAAACGTCCGTTGAAAATCAAGTGATACTATACAATCAATTATTTTGTGAAAGGCCAGCAAAATCTTAAAACGCTGTATCTTGACTTTATTTGGCTTTGTTGATTTTAGGATGTTTTGCAACAACATGGTCATTAGCAATCTCAGATGAAACATTTTTTATTTTTGTTTGCCATCTGGACAAAAAGGGAGTAAAGAAACCAAGGCTGGCTATCATCTGCCTAAAAAGGGCGAATAATCTTCGAATTAATTTCACATATTTCTTTAATAATTTGGGAAAAATATGCAATATATTTAGCAATATTTCATAACCTTAGCTTTATTTCTACTTATTTTCGTAGATGCTTAAATTTATAATGTTACATTTTATAAAAGTTGGAGGCAAGAAAATGATTCAAACCTCATTATCTCAAAACATGAAAATTTCCCTCTACGGCTTTTATCCAGAGACCTTCTCAATTTTATTATTTATTTTTATTATTATTTTTGTTATTTAAGGTCGCATCAACATCTAGATCACTAGCGACCAGTATTGGATTAAACGGTGTGGTAACTGTGAAGATGACATGATGTGGTGAAGGTAAGATGTGAAAGGACGAACACAATACAACCATGCCCGAGGCGGAACTTGAACCCACGATCCTTCGGTCCGAGATCGCTTTGGCACTACTGCCTTAACAATCTCTGCCATCCGGAACAGATTTCTTAAATTTCACTTTCTATGAGTAAATTGATGCTTAAGAATATATCGTTTTTATACAAATAAATGTGTTTTCGTGAGATATTTTTCCCTTCATACAAATCTTGGGGAAAAGAGAGAAGATAGTGCTTGCTCTTGCGAGAGGTCTCCCACAGGTACACAAGTACATAGGACATGTAGGAGAGGTAAAATATTTTTCTTCCTATGAACATCTGGGGGGGGGGACTCGCATATAACTAAGTTATTCATTTGACATTTTCCACTGTTGATAGGTAACTAATCTGATATTGGTGTTTCCCAGGTTGCCGAATTCTCTTCTATTCGACTAAGAAGGGATACCGCAACACTCTAGTGAGCGATGGATTGCCTAACTATCAGGGGCAATTGCCTCGCATATAACTTTTATGACACTAGCAGAACCCGGCAAAAAGTGATTGTCTTCGACCCCCTACATGCCCTAGAAGCTTGTAACACTTGTTGAGACATTCTATATTATTACAACTCTACGTTATTCTTAGGGTATCTTTGACGCGAAAAAGAATGAAGTAACCTACATAAGTGGCATATCATTCTAATTCTCTGAAAAAGTGTATTGATAGATGTATTTTTTTGCACAGCGCGTCTTTTCGTTCGAAATCGAATTTAAACTGGGTAATATTTGAACAAACTGAATTGGCATCGCCAAGCATCACAGCTACACATTTTTCGGATGCATCAGTCGTGCATAACTCGTAAAATGGTGTGTCCTTGATCCCTAACGTCTGGTTTCCGTCGGAGATGTATAATTCATGTTCCGTAGACCTTTCCAAAAACAAGACTTTTCTTGACCTTCTTTGACTTTCTGGGAGTGGTTGGAATGTCCAGTATCGTGTTCCGTAGCAAGGGTGTTATCAGAGTATCGGACACGTGTGTCATTGAATTAATCCACTATTTAATACTACGCACAATTTAACAGGCTTAGTGTTTGCTCATAAACGAAATATTAGCATATTTAGTCATGCACATGACCTGACCTACACGATGTACAGCACTACTGAGCGCCCGATCATACAAAGTGCTAACTGTTCGTAAAGGTTTGGTTGGTCACCGAGTTTTCCGCTAGAATGGATCTCTTTTGCGGCTCTCGAACTCCACCAAACCTGATGTAATGATATTGCACGTTCTTTCTTGCATTATTTATAACTTTTCCAATTTTCAAAACTTTAGAGTTCAACGAAAATCAGGTTGCGCCAATTTTGTAACAGGACTTCGCACTATCTGAGACAAAGTTAAAGAAAAAAATGAAACAATTTCTGAGAAATTCTTGTTCATAAAATTGATTTTATGTACGCCAAATTATACGAAAGCTACTCATATTTTGAAAAACTTTCACAGGATCTTATTTGAATCCTCCTAGATCATATTTTATTACGAAACAAAATCTTTATCTTTAATATTATAGTTGTAGGAAGTAGCCGAATAATGTTAAACTTTTGCAATTTTTGAAAATTCAACAAAATCGGATCTGCGATTTTGCTCTATTTGAGGAAAATTAAGACTAAAGCCACTTTTGAGAAAATTTTGAAAATGTCGTTCGGGCTTAATTGAAAGTACCCCAAAAATCAAAATGTCCCTTTCAAATTCAAGAGAATCTTCCAGATCGATCGCGGAAAATTAATTTGTGAACCGGTTACCTACAGTGAAACCGGTACCGTTGTTCAAACAAATGGAAATCCAGAAACGCACATACATTTTTGCTGCCAACCAATTTTCCGAAATCAAAAAACTACAAAACGTGGATTCTGAGAAGCCAAAGTATTACAAGAAGTTATTTACCACGTATAGAAGCATAAACAAAGAGAATTTCTCGGAGATGAAATCAATTGTATTTTCATTTTATAGATATTAGTATTTGTTGAAAACGCGTTTCCAATCGATAGGGTCAAATGCAATTCCATTCTTAGGGCTTAAACGGTATATAAGAGAGGTTTCCAACTTGTGAGGCCTCAAGGAACACAACTAAAACCTTTAACATGTTTACGGGTCATACGGTTCGGGCGATGCACACCTGTTCCCATTTAGTTGATTTCAGCGATTGTTTCCCGGGGGAGGGGTGGAATCATGTGTGATATCAGGTAGTTCCACGCACGACGCAGTAAAATACATTGGGGTAATTTTGAATTTCTGAATTTACTAGAAAAAATAAACAACTGAAAAGTAAACTTAACCTGTTTTTACATCAAGGGGTGCTAACCAAGACAGGGTGCGTGCAGTTGGCGCACATGTTCTCGCCCGACATGGGTGCAAAGGACTTTCACGTTCGACTCAAAAAACCTTTCGCGGTCCACAATAAATGGTACTGGGGGCCGCGTGCGGCCCGCGGACCGTCAGTTGGACATCCCTGGTATATAACACGGGGTTTCTGGGCCTAAGACGCGTCTTTTCCCAATCATTGGTGATCGATATGCGAGTGAATGTATAACATGTATCGTGGATTGCATGAGTGCCTTTTGCCTTTTTTAAAACACGTTTAAATCTGAATGTCTTAACAATAACTGATACAAATTTGGTGTGTTGGAGTTTGGTTGATATTGCCCTATTTGGCAGTATAGATTTTAGTTAATTTTTCTTATATTTTTAATTTTTAAGATTTTTAATGTTATTGTTATTTTTAATTCATCATTATATTATAAGATAAAATTATTCTCGAGAAAATAACCTCCATTTTAGTGAAAGACCCAGTGAAATACTTTTAACTAATTCCGATATTAGGTTGGAATTATAGACTATTCTTCCATGGATAGACCATAGATGTATAATGATTCAGAAAGGCAGACAAAAAATGTAAAAACCAATGTACGGGTTTCCATAAAATGTAAACAAATACATCAGCTTATAAAAAAGCAGGCATATTTTGAACGCACAGTCACACATCAGTTTTATTAATATAGATGAATGTTATGCTAGCTTCAGATTGCTGTCCCTCAATCCTTGCCCGCCAGGGCAAGGGCACCGTCTCTCTCGAAGAGCGGAGGCGTTCTGCGGCCGGCACTGGCCGCTAGAAATCGCGTCGGTGGCGGCTGGTCGGCGCGGCGCGGCGCGGCGCGGCGCGTCGGGCAGCGACAGAGGAGGGGAGAAGACGCGCGGGGAAAGGGGGTGGGGGCTGTCGCGGGGGAGGAGGAGGGGTGGCGGCGGCGGCGGCGCGCTGGCAGCGGTCGTCGGCGTTCAACTTCAGTCAGGGCCCGGCAACGGTATCGCGAGCATTCTACCAGCGACCGAGCGGCCGGGCAGCACATTCACACATCCACAATCAGCAAGGCACCTCGCAGCACGCAGCCATGAGGGAGATCGTCCACCTGCAGGCGGGCCAGTGCGGCAACCAGATCGGCTCCAAGGTGCGTGCGGTTGTGGCTGCCATCGCGTGGCCACGCTTTTATTCAATCCGACCGTCCATGCCGGGTGACATGTTTTCCACAGATCCCGCGAGAATCCACTGGGAGCGCAAGTGTCGTTGAGACCGACGGTGACGGAAATCCTCACCTGCTGGGCAGTCTTCACTTACAATTAGTGTTTATTAGGGTTCTTGCTCGTTTCATAGTTGTGCGTTAAATATTCACATGCGTAAGAATTCATATGACTGCCCGCTTCTAACATAAATAACTTGAAAACGTGCAATAATGAATAGCTTACATTCGCGTAATTGCACAACGTGTAGCTTTTTTATAATTCTGAACAAACCAGTGAAACGTGTGCACTAATACCCCACGAGATAATAAGTTGGGCCTGCAATTTACATACTCTAAACTTCCTCCTATTTGATTTATTTACTTAAGCTTAAAAATGTCGGATTCTCGTCGGTCTAAAGGACATTTTCGGCCCGCGCGCAGGACCAGCTTCAGGCTGCTGCACGCGGACGTCGCGTCTGCTGTCTCCGTCTCCGCTCGCGGCTCCTGAAACCGGAGCGGCGCGGCGCGGCGCGGCGCGGCGCCGGAGGCAACGTTTTTCCAAGCGACTGGTCGCTCGCCGCGCACTCGGCCACCTTGCGGCCGCCGCCGCTCGCTCCGGTTCAAGCTGCACGCCTCTGTGCGCGTGTAACAGCACGCCCGACGTCGGCGCTTCTCACGCGGTTTATTTGGTTTGCGTGCGAGATACGCGCTAGTCGTCAGTCCGTTGCTTCTCTACTGAAGCCCTGACGTGGTGCCTCGAGTAACCGCTCTCTGATAACACGGCTGTTGCAAAAGTGATGGTGTCCCCGATTACTTCCCTCCTGCAAAATTACGCCTTGGATGCATTTTTTAGCTATCGAGGGTGGCAACAGTGCTTCAGAGTCATTGCTACGTGACATTTATTTCATTATAACAGTTTTAAGGCTGATTTACACACGTGACTCAATACTTAGGCTGATTTACTCGCCTGATAGTGGTAGATTTGCTTCCTGAGCAGTATGGAGTAATAGCTCATATGGACAATATACGGTAGGAATTAAGTTCAAAATAAAAAAAAATTGTTACGTTTGTATATTTGTGTATTCCTGCAGAAAATAAACATCCGTTTAAATGTTGAAATTGGGACAAACAGTGACTCTGTGTCTGGAGACTTGAAACAAAATATTGCTATTATACGGAATCGACAGGTATCCGGTCAACAAGACTCGTAAACTTTCGTAAAAAAACGTCTGAAGAATAGTATTTTGACAAAATTCCAGTTCTTTTAACAATTTTTCCCGTACTCGACCACGAATTGAGCATTTGTTTGAAATATTTAGTTCATCAATATCAAACCAAACCCTTACTTTCCAGTTTTCTAATTCTACTAATACTTGAATTTGGCTACGATATTGAGTGACTCGACAGCCTAGACATAGCATCCGGCATCTGTGCCAAAGAATGCTGTTCCTCCTTGTCGTAAACAACTTAAGGAGAGAATTTGATTGGTCGACAAGCAACACGTTTTTTCTTTGGACTGCCTCGTATAAACGGCCAAACGTAAATGCTGAATGCATGAAAAGAAGGTTGAATAGACGCAATATTCTTTAGCTTGTTGGGGAAGTATAAAAGAACAGCCATTAGGAGTCGCGGCGAATTAGGAAGCCTTTCGTGGTACGTGGTATGATTGCGGAGCCCATTATGAAATCGTTCTCATGTGGTCTACCAAACAATAAAAGCATATGAAAATGATCAGAGGACAAAAAGTGAGACATCGAATCATCACAAGGCCTTCAGTTTTTATCTCAGGTGCTCCATCATCAACTTCAACTGAATCATATTCATCTCAATTTATTCTTTCTCTTCACCCGTAGCAAGGTATCATCTTCAATTTCATCACCATCATCTTCATTTTCTTCATATTTTCTTATTATTAATTTTCAACATCCTTTTCATATAAATCTTTATTTTCTTTATCTTCAAACTTCTCATCTACGTTTTCCTCCCCTTCCTCTCATGAATCGCCGAGATCACACCGTTTGTTCCGTAGTCGAGGGGTAAGAACTGGACAACGACGGCTTTAGCGGCTCCATACATTCCGCATACGCCGAGCAGCGAGCTACTGCTCGCCCAATCGCGAAGAGCTGATGTGTTCGCCGAATGTTCGCTCCCTTTGATGTGTTCTAAAGACCGACACGCGGTGGATAGGTCGAATACCGAATGTTCGGCGATCGGCGAATCGCAAGCAACCCGTCCACACTACTCGGGATTCGGCGAGCGTTTGCTCGGGATTCGCCGAATGCCGCATGCGTGGAGCCGCCTTTACGTACGCGAGGGCAGACCGCCGCAACGTGCGCTGTCATTCAGGTTGGAACGAGGCACGGGCTGTAAAAAGAACATGGCGGCCGGTGTGGCGCTGGCGGGCGTGCGCCGCCTTCACCACCATCACCACCGTCACCACCGTCACCACCGCCGCTGCCGGCCGGTGGAATTCGCCTCGCTCCTCTCTCGTGGGAATTCGCGGTCTTTCTCTCTCAAATTATGGCGGGGAATATCGCAACGCGGTGCGCAGACCTGGAATGCGATTGTCTCGGGTTTCGAAGCATGTTCGAGAACGTTTGTATGCTGTGTCATGACACGCGGTTGAATAGCACATAAAAACTCATATTTACGATAATAAATGACTGTGCTACGTGCACCGATGAGCTACTATATTCCTAGCTGGCAAGGAAGCTAGTAGTGATGAAAGATGCCTTTACCAGCATTTTTTATTTATAAGATTACCGGCTGTTGTTGACTTCGCCAGCATGTTCATATATGCCGAGTTGGAGCCATAAAATGCAACGTGACGGGGAGGGAATCGAACAAATTAAGAACACAGCACTGAAAAGTTCTGAATTTCTTTCGGGAGAAAACAAAAATGTTAATTGACAATACGTAATTGAACTAACATAATTCACTTTCTTTGACAGAAATAATGTCTGTGCTGTGGACTACTGTGAGGTCATGAGTTCGTTCCCACAAAAGAAATTTCGCCATGAGGCAATGTAAATTTGTGGATGTAATTAAAACTGTAAAGATACGTGTAAAAATCGTAGTTGGTACTTCTGTACATCATTTGTAAGTTAGCTTATAGGAAATTATACATTCTATTAATTTACTTATCACATATTGTATTATTCATATTCAAAAGTAAAGATTAAGAGTCAACTGAGCCAACGTTTTGAAATATGAATGTGGCTTGTTTGCTTTGTGATTCTCCGTCTCGGTAATTGTCTCACTATACTTGTACTTATATATACAAATATCAATAGAACTCAGAAAAGAAATAATCTCACCATCAGGGAAGTGGTTGCTTCACTTAAGTACTAGGTCGATCTTGTTTACAGCAGCAAACTCCATTATTTACTCGCATTGCCAGCCTAGATCTTCGTTCTTCAAAAACGACTCGGTTTTGAAAATGCCATTCGTATACCTTGAACAAGAGTCGAAAAAGAAATTCTAACAAATTAGCAGTTTTGTTGGACGAAAACATTAAAAAAACCTACATTGTTAAAAATAGAAATTAGTCTAAAACAGATTGTATCAAGGGATAGAGCCCATAGTCAACAGAATTAAAATGTTTCGAATGAATTATTCACGAAATGTTTTCACACAGTGATTTACGTGATGAATAGCGTATTTTTGAGTTAATCTGAAGTCTCAAAAATGTGTTTTATTGCATCGTGTTGTAGTACCAATCATATCTCTTACCTTCAATTCTTCTTCTTCTTCGGTGTTATTGAAGAAAAATAAAGAGAAATTTCCCTTGGGGTTAGCTGGGTGTTGGCTACCTTCAAATCGTTGAAAGTGCGAGTAGTTACACCTTACCAAAAGTGTATACAATTGAGATGGATATTTGTTCAATTGATTTTTTGGAATGGTTTAGTTAATTTTCAGTTTCGCTTTACACTAATCGTTCTCTATCTTATTGAAGAAGGTCTAAATCGAGAAAGACGCGGCTCGTAGCTCATGAAAGGGTGTACAATCAACTGCATGAATTAATGAAGTAAAAACAGAAAACAAATGCAAAGACTTTGTGATTATGTCAAAAAGCTAGAAGTTCAAATAAAAAAGCAAAGAAAAATGTGTCGCGATGTGATGATATGAGTGTTAACATTAACTTTATGTAATGTTTCGTGTAATGTAGTGTTTAAGAGTAAAAAGCTTTTGAAGATTACAAAAATCTGAGCTTTACACATTTTAAAGAAATAGTTTTACAAGCAGGTAGAGCTCTGAACAATAATTATGAAATATACAGAGCTTAAAGCAGTGAGCTTCGAGAAACGCTGCTGAACCGAGTAGTGTAGATTGTAGCGAATTTTTGATATTTTATTGAAGCGATGTTGCCATCGGAATTCTGTAGGAAATTTGTGGCAATCAGGAGTCAAAGCAGATCCAAATCGCCCGTTAGAAACCTCGACCGGAAATCCTATCCATTGTAAAACCGCGTGGCTGCTGCCTTTGGTTACTGCAACGCTATCGCATCCCGAAGATATTTCCGTGATGGTTTCGACAAAGGCCGCTGTTCCCCGCCCCCACCCCCTCTCCTGCCCTCCCCCTCCCCCTCGCCCGCACCGAGTCGGGTAAACAAGACCGAGCAGTTGGTCGGGCAGACTGCGCGCCGTGGAAGAGCCGGCAGAAACTCCTCAGCAGACGGGCAAGATAATGAGGTTGAGCGCGAGGTCGGGCAAGAGCGGGTAAGTGGTAGGGACGGATAGTGATGGACAGGAGAGGTAGAGGTGGGTGGAAGTGACAATGCGAGGATGGATGGGAACGAAGTGAGAAGGACGAGATGAATGGGGACGAGTGGATCTAGAAGTGGACAGGAATGAGAGTGGGCAGAGGGGGAGGGGATGTAGATATGCAGGACGGGTGAAGACGGTTGGAGGAAGAGGGCCAGGTGAGCGGGCAGGCAGGCGAGCGAGGTCGTGAGCAGGCGGCAGTGGAGAGATGGTAGAAGGGCTGGCGAGCAGGTTGGCGAACGACCCACCGTGATGGGGGCGGGGAAGCGGATCAAGACGGTAGGTGGAAAGGAAGGGTGGCAGGCTTCTTCTCGATGGTGGCATACAAGCGTGTGGCAGAGGGGGGGGGGCGGAGGAGAGAACAACAAAGAGAACGGGAGGTGAATAGAGGAATGGGCGAGAGAACAGAGAGTGAAGGAGGGAATGGATAAATGAAGAAGGCGAATGAGAGAAGAAATGAATGAGCAGAAAAAAGGGTGGACAAGCGAGAGGGGGCGATCGAAAAAGTGAGTGAGAGAGAGAGGGGGAGGGAGGGAGAGTGGTAGCGTGATAGAGAACATTGAGGAAAGATGGGTTGAGAAAGGCGTGGGAGTGGGCAAGCGGGCAGTTGGGCGTTGAGATGGGCATAAGTGACCGAGGGGGCGGGCGGGGAGGGGGAGGGCTGAGGGCCGCGTGCCCGAGAGCGACGAACTGGCGGAGCGGCCGCGTGGAACGAGCGGGCGGGCGCACGGCCGTGCGGGAGCACGCGGCACGCCGTCGCCCCCTCCCCTCCCCGCCACCCGCACCCCGGGAATCAGACCGACGCCATGCCACGCGGCGCCCGGCTCTCTGCGGGGCCCGTTCATCCCGTGACTCACCCCTCAATGAATCACCCACTGAATGGCACTGGCTGGCCAAAGTATTAAACAATTTTCACTTCCTAACACGGCTACCTCAAGTGTTCATCCACATTTACTACTGAAATTCTTTTAGTATCGTTTGTCAAATTCATAAACAAAGAGGGTTACTTTTTACCTCCCTCGTACTTGTTCGAAATAAAACTATTCTACATACCATGACCCCCGTTTTTCTAATGTAAAGAATAAATCCATAATGCATGAAGCAAATAATTAATACAAATTATTTACGTGCTACATGTATACTAGGAAAAAGAGATGTCCATCGAAAGATTTCTTTGCTAGTTGTTCTGCCAGTAAAACTGTTTTAAGAAACACTTTTCATATCTATGCTCCTAAAAAGTTATAAATGAGTCGTGTGTGTTTGTAG